ATCTGTTGACAGGATGCTTTCAGTTTGCTCCACACTGCCCCCTAGAGTCTATCAGCGAGGAACAGCTACTTAGAATATAAAACACCACAGATGTTGATGAGCAACGTTCTGCTCAAACATGAAGCAGAAATGACCCCCAATCCTGTGTTTGGAGGTCGTATCTCGTCCTGAGAGCTCAGACTGTGCCATGTAGTCAGGAGAATGGCTGAAATAGTAGCAGACCATCATAGTCATCTGTTTCTTCCAGATATCTTTAGCTCAGAACTGCAGAAACTTCTAAAGATGAATCAGGAGAACCTTCAAGAACATCCAGAGTTGCACTGAAAATTCTAAAACCTCTGATTGAAATGTCCCACCATTGTTTAGACTCAGAAAGAAACATCAGGATAAAAGCCGAATGAGGAATTTTTTTTTGTATGGATCCACCAGCATCATAACCTGTTTTTGTTTTCAGTCCAGGATCACGGTGGAGGTCCCCCCTTATATGAAGAGGATAACGTCCCCTGTCCAGGTCCAGTTCTATGTCTCAAATGGGAAGAGAAAGAGGAGCCTGATGCAGAGCTTCACTTACCTTCCTGGAATCAGAAGTCCTCCTCACCCTCCTCCTGTGGTCAAACAGGAACCCTGGGAGTCTGAGCTCCTCTTCTGTCCAGAGCCCAGCCTGCTGCCATCCCATAATGCCATGCTCCGCCCAGATGGAGCTTATGACCCTCTGCATGGTCTCCCTCCCCAGAACTCTTCTCATCAACAGCATCCTGCTGCATTCGCTCTGTCCCTTCAAGCATTGCCGTTGTTCCCTCAGGTGCCTTCAGCACAGTGTCAGACCATGAGTTTATTTTCAAACCAGGTTCCAATGGCTGCTCAGTCAGCTCCAAATCATGCACAGGTGCCTTCTCCACCCATCCCAAGCCCAAATGTCCCCCATCATGCCTCTGCTGGTGGTCCTCCCAGGAAACTATCTGGAAGCCCCAGGAATACTCTGGATCCCTCAGGAGAAGTGCTGCATGTCAAGGAGGAGCCTAAGGAGCAGCCGGTTCTGGGGTCCTTGGGCTTCCAGGAGATCACCCTGGATGATGGTAAGAACCAAACTAGGAACCTAAATCTAACCTTTGACCTCCTTAGTTTTCACTAGTTGGACCACACCTTTCTCAGTCTGGGACGTCCATGTCTCCAAATCGCAGTCAACTTAGGGAAGCAACACACTGTTGCCTAAAACTCTCCAGAACAGCAGCTTTTTGGTTTAATGGGTTGACAGCTAGAGGTAGTTCAGAATCAGAACCTTGGCTCACATGATTATGCTACTGCAGGCTGGATTTTACTAGATCCTGTCAGGTATGCTGAGAGGGAGAAAGATGAACGAGATTCTCGCCTGACCTTTGCTATCATCGCACTGGATCAAAGCAGCCCTGAGGTGTGTTTTGGTAGCTCAGTGGTTAGAGCGCATGACCCATGTACAGCCTAAAGGCTGATTTTATACTTTGAAACTAGGTCGTCTGTGTAGGTTTCGCAGTGAACAAAAAGACGTCCCTGCCCCCTCCGCAGACACTCTGCTGCACCTCTTCCAAATTGTAGGTGACTGCAGACAGTGCCGCAGACAGGAGACCGGCTTATTTTGTTTGTGTGATCGGAATTGCGGAAAACAACTCGTGAAGTTTGACCAGCTAAAAGAGCGAGGTGCATGAGAACGCTGGGAGCCTTTTTCCACCTGGATCCCAGCTTTTTTGCCCAAATTTCACTCTGTTGTTTTACAACCTTGCCTCCCCTTCCTCTCCGCCTCAGCCATATCTAGACCCACAGTGTATAGCACAGACCACGCTCAAAATTAAGCATAAATCAAAAATGTCTGCATCAAGCTCACTGCGACACACTGCTGAGAGGAGTATAACCAGCCCTTTAGTCCTCAACGCGGCTGACCCGGGTTCAGATCCGGCCTGAGGTCCTTTGCCACATGTCTCTTCCCCTGTCTTATACCCCCCTTCATGTCAGCCTACTTTACAAAGAGCCACTCTTACTGCTAAAAAAAAAAAAAAAAAGCAGCCCTGAGGCTGATGAGGTCTTTCCAAATACAGAACCAGCCGCTCTGAGCACTGACTTGTTTAGGAGTCTGTCCATCGGTCCTGTTTGCTGTATTTGTTTAGTGAATTGCATTAATACTGAATGGGTCTATTAAGTGAATAAATCAGTTATTGAAAGAATCATTTAATGAATGAATCACTCAGGGAATAGATCTTTGGCCCAATCCTAAGCACTAACCGTCTGTTTGCGCGTTCCCAGGGAGGGTCTGACATATTAAGTAAGGAAGTGGTTCCAGAAAGCGCCGTGTGGCTGCAGGTTTTTCTTTCCAACCAAGCTATGGCACAATAGACTCCAGTCATCTCATCAAGTCATCATTTTCAGATTGGACTCACTTTAATAAGGAATTAACTATAATATCAGATTACACTCATTTTAAAACTTTTGTTGTCATTTTTCATATGCACAGTATATACAAACCGAAATTTTGTTTCGTTTCTTAAAGTGCAGCAATGATCAAATGTAAACAGTGTGGGAGAAAAAACATGGTGCAAAAAAACACATTGATATGGAAGTTCAGAGCATTAAATATATATATGGTGCAATTATGCAGTGTTAAAACTAGAACAACTGAATAATCCTGTCATCAGACTGATGAAAGTGGCTCTAAATCAGATTAAATCCCAAATAATGTTTGATGCTGTATTGTATTTTACCCCTCGGAGCGTTTCTGCTGCTTAGTGTTGGTGAGCTAAGCTAATATTAGCCCTGTCTGCTGTGAATGAATCTGGGTTGGACGACACCAGCTGTCATCCCGACCGGCCATCAGCCTGGTTCCCAGCAGCAGCAGCTGTTCTCCCATTTGGGAGCCCAGTGTTTACTGGTGCATGCTGGGAGCTTCCAGCATTGCAGTTACTGTACTAGCCATAAATATGGACATGTTCTCATGGTGCATCAGCAGCATTCAAAGAGATATCGTTTTCCTGGACAAGCTGTGAAGTCTGCAGAACCGCGTCTACATTAGACGGTAGATGGACCAATGATCTGGGTTTAATATTGGTTATTTTCATTCATTATTGGTGAATATTTTAATATTTTTCATGAGAAAAAGATAATGTCTCAGAAAAACAGAAGTAAAATAGGTGAACTGGTTTCCATGTTCTACTCTGATCCAGGGTCAGGGTTACATAGATGATAAAACGGTGTCATAAAAAATGTTTGGGTCTATTCTGAACCTGATGCCACAGTGTAAACAGAAATCCAGTCCCTACCAATGGATAATTTCTGGGTTTGTTTAAGTATTTTATCATAGATTTCGATGGACGAGGTTTCCTTCTTTTTCCTTCTCAGACAGGGCCAAATGTGAAGCTAAATTACTGCTACCTTTCCTAACATAGAAAGTAGTTTTAGATAAACCTTAAACCCGTTGGCCTCTGCAGATGGCTGCTTACTAGGGGTGTAAATCACGTCCATCATGGCGATTCGATTCAGTATCGATTTCCTGACCCAACGATTCGATTGTTTTCGATACTCAAGAATACACCACGGTACGATTCGATTAACTGTATTTCTCTTTTTTTTTTAACACCTTACAGGCTAGACAATGTTTCAAATTTGAAATAAATCAATGAAAGCTGTAATATAGTTATGCATTTTTTTTGAGAAACAGCAAATAACAGTAGAAAAGTTGTACTCCACCTATTCCTATTAAAACCTCATTCACTGAAAAACAATAATACCCCTGCGTTATAGATTCTGAAAGGCCTTGCATCAAAAAATACTGCACAAAATCAGTGCAATGAGTGCAATGCAATACCTCGGCTCCAGACGTCCCCGCCCCCTCCACAGACGCTCCGCTGCTCCTCTCCCAAATTGTAGCTGACCGCAGCTACAGAAGAGCGAGGTATGCGAGAGCCTGTTTCCACCTGGATCTCCGCTCTTTTTGGCCCTCATGTCCCTCTGTCATCTGACTAAACTCGCCCCCACTTCCTCATCGCCTCGGCCATATCTAGACCCACAGCGTATAGCCCAGACCACGCTTCAATATTGAGCATAAATCCAAAATGTCTGTGTCAAGCTTACTGCAACACACTGCTGTAAGAGGATAACTAGGAAGCAAGCTAGGATGGCAAAATAGGTTTAGCGCCACCGCAGCACGGGAGGGAGAATTACGTCCAGGAGCAAATGGATAAAAAATAGACCGGAGGGGAAAAAAAATGAATCGATACTCTTGCGGACGTATCAATGCATCGAATCGTCGGCTGTTGGATCGATGCATCGATACAAAACGATTATTATTTACACCCCTACTGCTTACACTGAGCCTGATTCTGCTGAAGGCTTCTCCATGTTAAAAGGGAGTTTTTCCTCTCCACTGTTGCTGTATACATGCTCAGTGTGTGAGGGATTGCTGAAGAGTCAATAACTACTGCCTCTAGCTGTCCATCCAGGAGGATAGAATCTTGGGAAGTCAATGACAGGATGCAATCAGCTGGTTTCCTTATATATATATATATAAAAAAAACATTGAACCTTTAATCTGACTAATCTGGATCTATAAAGTGACCTGAGATGACATGGTGTGAATTGGAGAAATGGAAATAAACAGATTTTTCTCCCTGTTTCTAATAATCTCTGGTTTCCTGCAGTGAACGAGATCATCGACAGAGACATCGGCACAATGAGCAGCTGTCTGCAGCCTGACCAGTGTGACCAGATCAACCAGTACAGCTGGGAGCACAAAGCCGCCCCTCAATAGTTCTAGAAGCTGGTTCCTTCGTCTGATTCTGCTGTTTGCACAAAGTGTCAAACTGATCTCCAAGTGCCTGAAGACCCATTAGCAGCCTGCAGCTCATCTCCTCTGGGTTCTGTTCTTCATTTTTCTCAGGAAGAAAGCAGCTCGTAGCTAAAAGACATACCAAAGATTAGAATATTTATAAGACGCTGTAATCTGTCTTTAATCCAAACAAAGATTGATTAAGACATCATTTGATGTTTTTTAAGGCCAGTAAACAAACTTTATTTCTGGATGTGCTCCATTAAAGTCCCATTCAGACTCCAGCAAAGCTTAATTGAAGCTCCAAAGAAGCGCTATTTTACAGCTCCGGTGAAACGCCATTAAAGCTCCAGTGAAACTTCCGTAAATCTCCATTAAAGCTCCAATGATCCTCCATTAAACCTCTAATGTAGCTCAATTAAATCTCCAGTGCAGCTCTTTTAAGATCCAGTACAGCTAAATTAAAGCTCTAATGTAACTCCATTAAAGATCCAGTAAAGCTTCATTAAAGCTCTAATGAAGTTCCATTAAAGCTCAAGTAAAGCTTAATTAAAGCTCTAATAAGGTTCCATTAAAGATCAAGTAAAGCTTTATTAAAGCTCTAATGAAGTTCCATTAAAGCTCAAGTAAAGCTTCATTAAAGCTCTAATGAAGTTCCATTAAATGTCTAAGGAAGCTCCATTAAAGCTCCAGTGAAGTTCCATTAAGTCTTCATTACAGCTCCAGTTTTTTGCCACGTGGATGTTTTGCTCTGGATGTTCAGCCTGACCTGCTGTGGTGTTTCTTTCCACACAATATATGCTGAGGCTGAAGTAAAATAAAGAATCTGTGAAACAGAAGTTCAATGTTTTTCCTCTTTTCTTTAGTTTTTAATCTGTTTAAACCAGATGTGGCGATCAAAGCCCAGTTCTGAAGGCACTGAGGATTCTTGTTCAGGGTTCGGTTTGAAGTGGACCTGCTTGAATCTTCCGCGGTTGAATGTTTTCTTCTTCCTCTTTGTGGCGATAACTCATTTAAACAAATGTTGGTCTGGGTCTGACTGAACCCAGCAGAACTCCTCTACAGGAGACTCTGATCCTACCGTCCAGCAGCTGGCTCTGCAGCTGTAAATCAACACCGTCCCAAACTCCAGCTGGTCCTCTGCACCGCCGTCCGTCCTCTGCAGCAGGCTGACCAGCGCCGGCATCAGCTGCAGCTCAAAGACCCGAGGTTCTCCACAGGAACCACATGCGGGAATGAGCCGACTTAAGCTGGGCGGTGGCTTGGAGATGAAGAGCGGCGTCCCGTGGCGCTGGTAGCGCAGGATCTGCTGCGGACACGTTGAGATTGTCTTCATGAACCTGGAGAACACATGGTCTCCATGTCTGGCTTTGGTCTTCTCGTACTTCTCCTCGCCGCCGCCCTCGTCCGACCCCCGCACAGCTACGCCCTCCCTCCTCTCGTATTCTCTTAGAAGCTGCTGAGCGTGCTCCAGCTCGTCATCCTCACCGCCCAGCTCTGACTCCTCCAGCACGCTGATGAAGAGTGGCCGGTAGACGGGGACATCTTTAGGTTCTACCAGACTGAGCCGCTCAAGTCCAGAGCTGACATCCATCTGGGAAACGGGTCGACCCACTGGAGGAGAACAAGATGGGAGTCAGAACAGCTCAGTGGTACCAGTTACCATCAATCACAACATGATCAGAACCTAAATGTCAGCTGAAGGTGGAACATTGCCTGACCAATCAGAATGTTTGGATCAATGATGTCAGAGGGTATTTTGGTAAAACCAGGAAGGTCTGAAAATTCCTGACGATTTCTTTAAAGTTTAAATTAAAGATCAACTGTTTTCAGATTCTTTGGGATTTTCCAGATTCCAAATTTCTGGGATGTATAATTTGAGAGAAAATATTCAATATTTAACGAGTGAAACTGAACGATTACATGAAAAGGATCCAGAATTAGCTGCTTGGATCCTTGTTTTCTAAACAGACGGATCCGTTTGGGAAGTCATGCGAGAAACATCTCCTACCCCGGATTCCTCATCTTCTGTTCCAGATAACTCCTGATACTGAGATGTTCCCTCATCTTCTGGTTAAATTAATCTTGTATTTTGTTTCACTGCATTAAAAAGGTAGAGTTGCCATAGATTTTAAAGTTGGAAACATGAACAGTTTGTTGCCGAAACATTTCTGGAGAAGTTAACCAGAACAGATGGGGTGTTTGGCTTTAGAGCTTCCCAGATTGTTATAAATTAAATCAGGAGCTTAATAAAAACAGCTGATAAACTTTCATCCAGGAACCCAAAGAACCTCTGAGTTCTAGAGTTTCTGCTTGCTCAACATTCAAACCTCCTTAGAAATCAGTCCAGAAACAAAAAGGATGAGAACATTTCAGAACCAGTCTCCTGTCAGATCCACCTTCTGTGCGCAGACCTCCATCCTGAAGCTCCTCAGCTCCTCCACCTTCCTCCATCCCCCAGTCATCAGCGGACTCACACCAGTCTGTGGCCGATGGCAAAGCTCCCTGAGGCGGAGGAGGCTGGCAGGGAGCCTCCACCCACTGGGAGCGGAGCGCCGTCCAACCAGCCTGCTGCCCGCTGCAGCCTGGCCGGCAGCAGCCGAACAGGTGGAGGATCCTGTGGAAGGAAGAGCCCTGCAGGGGACAGTACACCTGGACCACGAGGGCCAAAGGGGACCCACAACAACCACACGTGGGAGACCGCGGGGCCAGAACCGGTGGCCAGTCTGGCTGCCCCCCGACTTTGTTGGTCAGAACCGAGGAGCGGAACCTCCTGGGGTCCAGTTCTCCGTCACTGACACCGATCAGAAGCTGATCCTCCGCCATATATGACAGCAGGAACCTTACACACGTAGAGAAAAGTTTCTGCCGGACCGGAAAGAGGCGCAACTGCTTCCGTTAGAGCTGTTTTTTTTTTTTTTTTTTTTTTTCAAATCTTTATGAAAGCTAAAGAATAAAGAACAAGAAACATACACAAGTTAAAAAAATATGCCAGGGTTATGCCACAATAAATAAGTATATATAAAGTCAGAAGAAAAGTAAGAATAAAAAGATACACATGTGAACATTATTTATATATATATATATATATATATATATATATATATATATATATATATATATATATATATATATACAGGTGCTGGTCATAAAATTAGAATATCATGAAAAAGTAGATTGATTTCAGTAATTCCATTTAAAAAGTGAAACTTGTATATTATATTCATACATTACATACAAACTCATATATTTCAGATGTTTATTTTGTTTAATTTTGATGATTACAAATGACAACAAATGAAAATCTCAAATTCATCATATCAGAAAATTAGAATATTACTGAAGACCAATAAAAACAAAGGATTTATAGAAATGTTGGCCAACTGAAAAGTATGAACATGAAAAGTATGAGCATGTACAGCATTCAGTATTTAGTTGGGCCTCCTTTGGCCTGTATTACTGCAGCAATGCGGCGTGGCATGGAGTCGATCAGTCTGTGGCACTGCTCAGGTGTTATGATAGCCCAGGTTGCTCTAATAGTGGCTTTTAGCTCTTCTGAATTGTTGGGTCTGGTGTATTGCATCTTCTTCTTCACAATACCCCATAGATTTTCTATGGGGTTAAGGTCAGGAGAGTTTGCTGGCCAATTAAGAACAGGGATACCATGGTCCTTCAACCAGGTACTGGTAGCTTTGGCACTGTGTGCAGGTGCCAAGTCCTGTTGGAAAATGAAATCTGCATCTCCAAAAAGTTGGTCAGCTGCAGGAAGCATGAAGTGCTCTAAAACTTCCTGGTATGTGGCTGCGTTGACCCTGGACCTCAGAAAACACAATGGACCAACACCAGCAGATGACATGGCACCCCAAACCATCACTGACTGTGGAAACCTTACACTGGACTTCAAGCAACGTGGATGAAGTGCCTCTCTTCTTTTCCTCCAGACTCTGGGACCTTGATTTCCAAAGGAAATGCAAAATTTACTTTCATCAGAGAACATGACTTTGGACCACTCACCAGCAGTCCAGTCCTGTTTCTCTTTAGACGCTTCTGACGCTGTCTGTGGTTCAAGAGTGGCTTGACACAAGGAATGCGACAGCAGAAACCCATGTCTTTCATACGTCTGTGTGTGGTGGTTCTTGAAGCACTCACTCCAGCTGCAGTCCACTCTTTGTGAATCTCCCCCACATTTTTGAATGGGTTTTGTTTCACAATCCTCTCCAGGGTGCGGTTATCTCTCTTGCTTGTACACTTTTTTCGACCACATCTTTCCCTTCCCTTCGCCTCTCTATTAATGTGCTTGGACACTGAGCTCTGTGAACAGCCAGCCTCTTTAGCGATGACCTTTTGTGTCTTGCCCTCCTTGTGCAAGGTGTCGATGGTCGTCTTTTGGACAACTGTCAAGTCAGCAGTCTTCCCCATGATTGTGTAGCCTATAGAACTAGACTGAAAGACCATTTAAAGGCTTTTGCAGGTGGTTTGAGTTAATTAGCTGATTAGAGTGTGGCACCAGGGGCCATCAATTTTGAACCTTTTCACAATATTCTAATTTTCTGATATGATGAATTTGAGATTTTCATTTGTTGTCATTTGTAATCATCAAAATTAAACAAAATAAACATCTGAAATATATGAGTTTGTATGTAATGTATGAATATAATATACAAGTTTCACTTTTTAAATGGAATTACTGAAATCAATCTACTTTTTCATGATATTCTAATTTTATGACCAGCACCTGTATATATATAAATAATGCATGTGACACTCCTCAAAAATTTAAGGAACACCACATCAACACATCAGATCTCAATGGGGAAAAAAATCATGCTGTTTATTTATACTGATATGGACTGGGTGATGTGTTAGGAACAAAAGGATGCCACGTCATTTGATGGAAATGAAAATGATCAACCTACAGAGGGCTGAATTCAAAGAAACCCCAAATATTACAGTCCATTTTGCTAAATTTTTTTTGCAGAAACTCCAAATGGTATTCAGTCATTTGTATGGCCACCACGTGCGTGTATGCATGCCTGACAAGGTCGGGGCATGCTCCTACGGATGGCGTCCTGGGGCATCTCCTCCCAGATCTGGACCAGGGCATCACTGAGCTCCTGGACAGTCTGAGGTGCAACCTGGCGGCGTCGGATGGATCGAAACATAATGTCCCAGAGGCCTGTCTCCTGAAATCTCATCCAAGCTCTTGAGATTGTGCTGGTAGACACAGCAAACTTTGTGGCAATGTGCCATCCTGGAGGAGTTGGACTGCCTGTGCAACCTCTGTAGGGTCCATGTAGTGCCTCATGCTAACAGTTGTGACAGTGACCCTAGCCAAATGCAAAACTGGTGAAAAAGAGTCAGAAAAGATGAGGAGGGGAAAAAATGTCAGTGGCCTCCACCTGCAAAACCATTCTTGTTTTGATGGTTGTCTTGTTGTTGCCCATCTAGTGCACCTGTTGTTAATTTCATTAACAACAAAGCAGCTGTAACTGATTAACAAACCCCTCTGGTACTTATCTGACCAAATCAATATCTCAGAAGTTTAATTAACTTGATGCTGTACTCTGATTACAAAGGCTTCCATATATATATATATATATATATATGTATATATATATATATATATATATATATATATATATATATATATATATATATATATATATATATATATATATGTGGCCAGGACCGCGTCAGTTGTTAGGGAACCAGGGCAGAGAGCAGAAAACTTGGTACTGATGAAATGCTACTATACAAGCGTCCCCAGTGAGAGAGGTTACATGCAGAGACTATGGGAATTATGGCAGCTCCAACAACCATCATCGACACTGACAAAGAAACAACTACTAACTCAGTGTTCTAACATCCGCAAACGGCAGCTCCTATCACAACTAGAAATTGATGAGGTACAACTGACATGCTGCAGCAAGGAGGAGTCAGGACAACAGGTCAGTAGGGAGATATCATCATCCCAACACACAGAGATTGGGTCCCCAGCCCCAACACCAACAAGCCCACTAAACGTAAGGGCAGCTGACCTACAACAGCAGATCATAACCAAACTGAATCCCCTAGTACGACGACCAAGACTGCCAAGGCTAAGTGACAGAGTACCCTCTGAAAGTCTTCTAGAAGATGTAAATGCAGCACTGCACATCTTTCTAGAAGATGTATTTACATTTTACATCTAGAAGATGTAAATGCTGCACTGCATACTATCCCTACTAAAGACATAACTGAGACCAACGAGCTGACCTACGCCACAGCTACAGTGATCCTAGAGATGCTTTTTATATATATATATATATATATATATATATTATATATATATATATATATATATACATACATAAATGTAAATAAATATATATACATACATATATACACACTATATCTTATAATATATATATATCTATCTATCTATCTATCTATCTATCTATCTATCTATCTATCTATCTATCTATATATATATATATATATATATATATATATATATATATATATATATATATATATATATATATATAACTATATATGTTTGTATATGTATAAAGTTATACTGGATTCACTTTGTGTTTGTCTTTTTCTTGCTTTACAAAGGTAGGCAGCAGCTTGACAAAACCATGATGGCAATTATTTTACATCCAAGTAGTATGCAGATCTTTATATAAATACACATCGATTTAAAACAGATGGTATCAGCCAATACTGCACAAAATATATATATTTACTTACAGACCAAAAGTTTGTACACACCTTCTCATTCAAAGAGTTTACTTTATATTCATGAATATGAAAATTGTAAATTCACACTGAAGACATCCAACCTATTAATTAAAACATGTGGAATTATATACTTAACAAAATGTGTGAAACAACTAAAAATCTGTCTTACATTCTACTGTAGGGTCTTCAAAGTAGCCAACTTTTGCTTTGATTACTGCTTCGCACTCTCTTGGCATTTTTTTGAAGGAGTTCCAGGAGATGCTTAGCATTGTTGGCCCTTTTGCCTTCACTGCGGTCCAGCTCACCCCAAACCATCTCGATTGGGTTCAGGTCCGGTGATTGTGAAGGCCAAGTCATCTGGTGCAGCACCCTATCACTCTTCTTCTTCATCAAATAGCCCTCACACAGCCTTTTTGGGGTCATTGTCCTGTTGAAAAATAAATGATGGTCCAAATAAACACAAACCAGATGGAATAGCATGCCGCTGCAAGATGCTGTGGTAGTCATGCTGGGTCAGTATGCCTTCAGTTTTTAATAAATCCCCAACAGTGTCACCAGCAAAGCATCCCCATACCACCTCCTCTATTTTTCACAACAATCTAAAATTTAGACTCATCAGACCAAAGCACAGATTTCCACTGGTCTATTGTCCATTCCTTGTGTTCTTTAGCACAAGCAAGTCTCTTCTGCCTGTTGCCTGTCCTTAGCAGTAGTTTCCTAGCAGCTATTTTACCATGAAACCCTGATTCACACAGTCTCCTCTTAATAGTTTTTCTAGAGATTTGTCTCTTAATAGGTTTTCTTCATTTAATCAAACTGTCATTTTATTTTGATAATAGATACACTAAAAACTACAAATCAATGTTTTTTATTCAAACGAGGACCTTCAGATGGATCACCTGCAGCTCATGGCTTTTAGTCCTAATGGAGAAAATTGTTCCAGTCTTTGATTTGATGGCAATAAAAAACAAATTCCAACAATAAGATATAATAATAATGACAATTTAATATTAAAAATACATTTGAAAAACTTTATTCAAATGATCAAAGGAAAAAAAATAGTTATAGGTTTTATTATAAACAGTTCACATATACAAGTTGTTTTTTCATTCATCTTCTTCTTCAGCATTCAGAGGTTCTCTGTTTGGGGGTAGAGATGGTTTTATGCGCTGCCAGCGATTTGGGGGCCAGATGATGTGGGAAGCTCTGCCATGTAGAAGCCCAACTGACACCTGAGGTGAAAAGAGAATAAAAAGCTGATAGTAAATCTGAAAAGGAGAAGAGGTGCTCTAGTTAATCCCAATCTGTTATCCTGGTTTTTAAAAAACAATGGTGAAAAGTTAATGAATTGGTTCTTTTACCCCTTTCACAGTGGCCAAAAAACCTGTTTTTAAAGCTAGGAACATTCTGCCTTTAGTGGAAGTGGGACACCTCAATGACCCCCGTCGACCCGGGTCAAACGGATCGGCTCCAGTCAGCTTACAGTGGGAACATCACACCCAGGTTGACCTGCTAATTTATATGATGCCATTAAGAGCCAGTCCCTTGTGATTTAACAAGCTAAAATGACTCTGCTTGCATTCGATAAACAAGGCGCAGCACAGGTGAGAGGGTTTTGAAGGAAGAAAAAAAAAAAAGAGCCAAACAATAACGCACACAGACTACACCATGGCTGCCTTACATCCTGCTCTCCATTGTTTACTTTCCCGATTTCTGTCGCACTGGTGACATCATCAACGCTAACCTGGTGTGTTGGCATCACCATTCATGGATTTGTTTACTTTTCCACCTAATTTCATTCTAATAGCGATAATAGGAACTGCTGATGAAGTACAGGAGTAGGGGTAGGTTTAAAAAAAACAAAAACTATGTGTGTATGTATTATACGTTACCAAAGGTGCAAATAAGATTTTTGCTTCTGCCTACTCCTTTTTAGCCTGGGTGCCATTCCAAACTTAATCCCGCCCACAAGGTTTGAGGTCGGGAGGTTCGGTCTGGCTCTGCTCCATAGTAGCGCGAGTATGATCGCCCACCCTCTGGCGATCCAATCAAATTGTCAGGGCGGGCTTTATACGATGATGGACAGATGACCAACAGTAACGTAATCAACCACGTGACCAAAGCGCGCTTGGGTGACAACAACAATGGCTGCCGCCGGAGAGTTGAGGTGAGTAGATTCTGCTATTAGGTCTGTTCTAGAAGATATCGACAGCAAATAAATTTTAAAAGAAGAACAGAGAAATGCGATCAAGGCTCATCTTCTTATTCTAGGCGTGCAACTGCACGCTTTGATTTTTGTTGACAACAACTATGCCTCGCTTAACATACGTCACGCACTCCGTTGCTCTTATTGGTTGTAGGTCTATCCAATTGAGTGCAGAGGCATTTTTTTTCCTGGTTCGTTAGAAACACGCCCCATAATCACAGCTCTATGGAGCAGTATCAGACTCATACTCTGACTAGAATTGAGTAGGACTACGTCAGGCTAACTCCTTTTAGGCATCGCTGAAAATATTTTGTCAGCTGAAAAAAGATGTGTTGCTCAAATAACAAAATTAGTCCTGTCCTCATAAAGAGCTGATCTTCTAAATCAAAGTTTTTTCTCTTTTACAATCAAAGTCAAGGGACTTTCTTCTGGCACCCCTTTATTTTTGGCCAGGCGGTGTGTATTGATAATACTTTCAAGAAAGCAAATTTATTAAAAGATTTATCAATGATTATGATGTTGAACTAATCTCAATTGGCTGCCTTTCCATCAGATTCTATTTTATAGATATCTACATACATTGTATATATACAAGGTATATCCTTAATGAAAGTTATCAAATGATGCAATGCTGTCTTTGATGTTTTTGCTTTACTTTTATTTACCTTTCTGAAAAAGCTGATTGTCTTTAGATTTTTTAGAGATTATATAGTTTTCAATTTTCAGATTTTAGACTATCAGTTCACCCAAGTTTGCCAAAGAACAAAAGATATGAACAGTGATGTAACACTTTTGTCCATTTCTAAGTCAGTTAAATTAATGTCATTTCTCCCAACAGACTCTCTCAAACCATATGGACCACATGACTCTTTATTTGTACCGGGCCAAAGCTGTTGCTGTCCAGACTGTGTCCACGATGATCCCCCTCAATCCAGAAATGACCATCAGGGACCCGAACATATTGGTTCTTGTACCCCAGGGTCCTGCAGGAAAGTTTAGAGCAAAACAAATATCAGTACATCAACAATAATTATAACCAGCAACTGCTCAGGACAATATTTAAGAGATTTTCAATGAACATATTGTGTATTTTATTTGTTTGTTCGCAACCAGCACGTGAAACCAGCAACTACCGGGTTAAGATAAAAAAAACAGGTAAACAAATCCTGACCATATGGAAAGGCTCATGTTATTCCTGATCCCGACAGTCACAACTTTCATAGCTCAGCTGTTGGCTAAGCGACTCTGCTGAGAAAAACAGATGCTCTGTCACAGACACAAGAAATTTGGTCCTCTAGAGCCTTTGAGAGTGGTTCCTTTCCATCTAAGAACTGCAAGATGTCGTGTATGACCCTGAGGCCCTTTTTTGGGTGCAGACATGCTCCTACACCCTATTCTTTGTCTCCTTCAGAGGAGTATCAGAGGGTGTTTTATGCCGCTTGGTGGGACCCTAAGGCATTGTCACATCTGTCCACTGATGGTTGGGTGCTCTCTGTCATGCCTAAATCAACCAAGGCAGGCCTGGACTATATGTCAGCGGTTTAACCTGCTGTTGTTTCTTAATTGTGTCACCGGATGCATGGCTGATTCCTGATGTTCAATGCCCACAACCCAATGTCAAGTCTCAGATGACCCCTTCAGTGAGGTGTTCAATTCAGGAGTGTGTGCTGGCCACCCTGCCAACTCCTTTGAACACATCATGTTTGCCTTTCCTGCATAATTTTAGGATACTGGTGATGCGACTGTGGCAGTTTCATTTAGTGTCGTAGCATTGTAAGTCTTAGCACTGATAACCAAGTCGCCTCTGACACAAGCATGCTGTAGGACCCTCAGGGGTGTCCTAGTTGTACCAGGGGGAGTTGTTTAGATCAGGTGTCCTAAAGCACTGGAGAGAACTGTTCAGGTGCACCCGACTAGGCAGCACCTTTCAGGCCTCTGGAGGGGTATGCCCCCCCTGAATTGGAGGCATTCTTATGCTAGCCCCATTGTTCGGCTACAGGCTCAATAACCTATTAGTATTAGAGATCTGGTTGGAACTTTAGTGCACCAGCCTGCGTCCAGCTAGACAGGCTCAAGCCTGGTTTACGCTTAGAAACCAGGTCGTCTGCGTGTGTCGCAGTTAACGCATATGTGCATAATTCAGCAGAATATCACAGTTTTCTGGAGTTTTTCCTATGTGAGTTGCCATTGGCAATTCCGGATGCTCCTATATGGTCTCTCTTTTTCACAGAGGTTGTTTACTAAGTGCAGGAAAGTTTCCCATCTCCTCTGTAGAACTTTGGCATTAGGGCTCTTCCATACCTGGATAACTTGCTTCTTTGCTCACGCTCTAGGGCAGAAGTCTACTGAGATGCGTGCCTCCTTTTTGACCATATGTCACATTGGATCTCAAGGTCAACTTGGTGAAGAGTTGCCTGGTCCTGTGACAAATTACCACTTTTCCTTGGATGCAATTGGACTCGACTACAAGGACTCATCCATCTGTACACAGGGTTGACAACATACTCCAGCTTGTGAGTTGATTCAGGCTGGGCTGGTGGTTTCCCCACATCAACCTTCCAGCAAATTGATTTCAGAAACTTGTGTCGAGCTCTTGGGTTTGCTGATTCTGTGTCTTTTTCAGAGCAAGCTGAACAGGCTGCACAGGTGTTGCATGAATACGGTGACACTAATGTTGTAGTTAAGACCATACCAAACGAGACCAGGGAGTACCGAGACAAGACCAAGACCTTAAATGCCAAGATATTTAGAGGCCGAGATCAAGACCACATATGCCCCATTTACACTACCCCTCAGAAACTGATCGGTGCAGAGTTCGGACGTAGCTTGGATCAGTTAACCGTGCAGAGCTTGGTTCCTAACAATCATTTAAACATCATGCAAGCATGGTTCCTCGTCGCCCATTAGCGGCCCATGATGCTACAGCTCTCAAGGCAGGAATTACACAAATAAAAATGGCCGCATCCATAACATTCAGGAACTTAAGTCCCTGGATAGTGTCCTACACCTAAATTTCAATGAGAGACTTGGTCTCTGCATCATCCCAGGTAGCACCACGCTGTTTTGATGCCATCTATGGTTAAAAGGCTGAGAAGAAGTTTGTATTGTGAACAGGTGAGGAGATTAGTGAATTACAAAGCCAGACACGCCTAAAAACTTGTGAAATGAGTGAGCTGACTGTAAGGAGATGACGTGGGCCGCTCATGCATTCTTTGTTATCAGAAAACCAGGTCACAACTGAACCATGCCGAGCCCTACTGTTGAACTAGTACTAGATTTAGCATGGTACGGATGTGTCTGACACGGTCCAGTTCAGTTGTGTTCCATTTACACTAAACAGTTATCTCGGTTACCGTACACTGACCGTTCTCTGTGAGGTTTCAAAAGAGCAGTGTAAATGGGGCTTATAAATTGTTGTTCTTGGTCTGGGCCTCTAAAGGTCTTGGACTTGTCTTGGTCTCAGTTCTCCTTGGTCTTTATTGGTGTAGTCCTGACTAGAACACTAGGTGACATGGACTTGCCTTCATCCCCAGGCCTTATGGCGAGGCAGGATGTATTTGTCCAGGGGCGTTCCTATGGGTTAATCGTGTGTCATAGGGAGGTGGTCACCCCAAATGCCAGTCTCATGTGCATTACTCTAAGGTGGTGTGGAGGGTGACCTTTGATGACACATGGAAAGTTATATTAGAAACTTAAAAATTAGGCCCACACAGACAAAAAAAATTTCAGCACAAATAGAACCAGCCAACACTTTGTTGTTCACCTTCAGACACCTTCAAACATACGTTAATTTCCTTGAAAAAAAACAGCACAACAGTAGTTCATCTGGACAAACACAAAATGGTGACTTCTTCTTTTCAAATCAACAGAATATTAGCAAGCTTCAGCTGATTGTTCAATTGTTTAATGTGAGGAGAAATGAGTATCTTTCTTTACCTGATGAAGTCTCCTTCTAGGCCAATAACACGCTTAATGATCTTCTGCTTTGGATTTTTTGGTGATCTAAAATAAAATAAGCACATCAATACATATAAGTGAATAGTAACAAACATCAGCCAAGAAAATATCCATAAGAAGATGCTGCTCCTGTTCTTCACTAGGGTGCTGTAGGTCTGAGGTTTGAAGCGGAGTCTACACCACTATAAACCACAGGACATCTTTCCAAACTGGTTCACATACAAACAGCATACAAACAGCAACATGTTTATAATCAATGGCAAACTGAGCAATAAAATGTAGATACATGTGTCAATATAGGCTAAGTTTATACAGTCGAGATAAAACTCAAAATGACTAAAGGTGGGGTAGAGGGTGCAGTTGGACCGGAGGAGGACAGCGGTAAATCAGAGAAGCCTATCAGGGAGACAAGAACACTAGGGCAGGGAGGAGAAGGCGGTGGCTGTCCACTGTCTGCAGCTGGGGTAGGATGACAAAACAATCCTTCTAGGGCTAAATTAAAAACTTTATTTTTTTTTTTTTTTAAAGCTACAATAAACCAAGAGCATTCCTCAACTGCAACCTTGGTCAAACATTATTTCTTCTATCTTCCATTTTGTTTAAAACTCGTCTCCACTGCCTCTTTATAATGACTAGAATAACATTAAAGCAAACAGAGCTATGGTATTAGAAAAGTATCATATAGGTGGAAGCCCAAACTCTGGGATCAGGGTGGGAGGGGAAAAAATGTGGATCATTGCATCCCTACTTTATAGACAAGAAATGTCAATAAAAGGATGTTGTGTTTCTCATACTTTACAGCAGGTTCCATTAATTAAAAAAAAAGCCTGCTAGAGACATGGTCTATATAAATGACTGGTTTTCAATGGTCTACATCTAGTTTTACTTAACTATTCCTAATTTAATTAGCTTTATTAAAGAAGAAAAAGAAAAATGGTTGATGGGAATTACTCACACAACAGATACAATGTCGCCTCTTTGAACCTGGTAGTTTCTCACACTCCAGCGATTCAGCAGGACAACATCACACTGGCCCCCAACGTCTGGGTTAAGGAATGGCTGTTCAGGAACAAAGGAGTCTGGTGTTACATCTTGGTTTGGAGTTATTGGAGTAAATAAGATAAAAACATAAGCGCCACTTTAAAACAAGTTAGTTCAGACAAGAGGGTTTGTTGACGGACCACCAAATTTCCTTCTGCTTGAGCCTATTGGCTGTTTGCAGGAGCAAAGCACGTACAGGAACCTGGGCCCAACAGGTAAATCAAATGGCTCAACAATAAATAAAGATGAAGAGTTAAAAAGAAAACTTATGACCACGGGCACAGTAACAAAAAACTGACCCAAAACAACCAGACAGCTAATAACTACAATGAGCAGAAAGGTATGGTTTCACAGGTGGAGGTGATCAGGTGGCGACATAAGGAAGAACTGAGAACAATAAAAGGAGTGAGAGCAGAGGGAGAAAAGCAAATGAACAGAGAGGAACCCAACGACAAACTCAAACAAAGAAGAAGATAAGGAAATTAGATCCCAGCCAGTAGGTTTGGGATTAGTTCAATGTGATCAGTATTTTGGATTAATTTTACTACAGTTAAAATCTAAAAACAGAAATACCATCCAGGGTCAGGAACTCTACAGTGAATTATAATTCATCAAGATCAAGCCGTTTGTTTCCCGTCCACAGGTACCTGGACACCCAAGGAAGGAACCTGGCGATCTAAAACCTGTTTTCATATTTTACTTTGCCTGCTCTCATTATTTAATCAGGTATTCCCCGAAGATGGAGAAGTCAGAGTTGTCTTAGAGGGTTCATTGTGGGAGAGAAGACAGGTTTGTTCATCACGTCTCACCTGCATTGAAGCTCCTTCAACTCGAGCCACATAGGCCAGTTTATCCAGGACAGTAACTGTGACAGGAACGGCAACGAAGAACCCACTGATGAACGCTCGTATGCAGCGCCGTCCTGGAGTCTGCTGCGCCATACGGACACTGGAAGAGACAGGACAACATTCATCTCCCCGACTCCATTCTAGGTAACAAATGGCAGCCATCCTAGATTTAGAGATATTTCTATCAGGGAGCCAATTAGGATGAACAGAAAACCACCAGGGGAAAAAACTAATCAAAATGTTTACATATATGAGGCGGATTTAACTCAAACAGTTTGTTACCAAAGAGTGGGGCAATAAAAGAAAGAGGGAGGGACAAATTTAACAACATTAGAGAAGAACGTAGCGCTATAAAACACTGACATCGCACACCAAGGAAACCAGATATCCCAGGATTTTGTCTCACAGCACATTATCAACATATTTGACAGAATGCATACACACATTATAACTAGATTATTTAAACAAAGCCAACTGCAATTTTTCCAGCCTCAAAATAATGTAGGCTAGCTAGAAAGAGCGTATAGCCTGTCGGATATAGAAAAAAAGACTGTGTTGGGGGAGCTGCTGGATATCAGAAGACAACTAAAACGGCAAAAGATAGTGGATTAGCAAACAGCGGAGAAAAAAAATGTGAGGGACACACCATCAATTTTAAAATCTAATGTGTGGGCCCACCTTAGCTTCTATAGTGACAAGGAAACAATACTCGATAGAGTTCGCAATCAGCAAGAGATGTTTTGCAACAGGAATGAGGTTATGAGAGAGGGGGAGAGACATGCGGGAAAGGACCACAGGCCGGATTCAAACCCAGGTCGCCCGCATCGAGAGCTAAGGTCTCCGTACATGGGTCGTGCGCACTAACCGCTGCCCCACCTGCACGCCCTTCTTTTGTGCTTTTAAGTACTGCTAGATGAAGCCACATTAAAAGCACACAACACTTGATAAATATGTAGAACTGATAGCAATAGTTGCCCTAATACCACTTAAACATGTTTTTAAACAGTTGTATAAAGGGTATCATTCAGTTTTCATACAGAAAGATAAAGAAATTGATCTTCTCAAGTGAGCCTTCTTTCAAGGCAGGAGCAGTTTTCTCAATAGCAGACATCAAGGCATGAAGATCTCAAGACACAAAGGTATCAAGACATCAGGACATGAGGACACACAGAATGGTCCATTAGGACAGTTTAGTCAACTTGCAGAGTCCTGTCCACAACCGACAATAACTTTTTTGGGAGGTATCAGGGGAATGAGGTCTATCAGGCTTCTTTTATTTAAAGGACTGTATAAAGTGTCTCTGTCTCTTCAGGTTTCCTGTCCTGATATTCTTGGCCTCCAGTTCCTGATTCCTCATGCTGTGGACATGCTGCTGTTGACTCAGCACACTGGTTCCTCACATATTCCTCTTCTCTCTGGACTCCGTTTCATTTAATCTCCCTCTCATCACTTCTACTAGCTTCATTCTCCAGTCTCTGACATTTTAACAGTTGAATAAAAAGTCTATTTAATCTAGGTGTATCAACTTTTCCTTTATTAAAGTGTCTGTGGCCCCAGGTTAGTGTTTCAACACACTGTGGAAGTTCTGCGGGTCCATCCCCTCACATGGTTCTGCTGGACTGGAGCTAAAGAGCTTTCTATTGGGGCTATGTGACTTTGGAAGTAAAATCCGCAGATTAAACTAAAATCTCTGGTTTTGCTTATTCTGACCTCTGGTCAACCTCAAATTGGACCTCATGTAACAATTTCTCTTACTTTTTCTGCAACCGTTGGCTCCTTTGAGTGCACCACGTCAGATTCCACAAATGTTCTTAACTTCACTAAATGATCATAAAGTATCCTCACAAACCTGATGCAGAGAAATGAAAATCTGCATAGTTACTGTCCAGATTACTCTATATAAGGCTACGACTTCCAGCACCCCTTCAGGTGTTCATTCACTAAAAATGGCATTGAAATCGAAGAAGAGACTCTGTACCAGTTTGGAGATCAATATTCCTCTGACTGAGAGCTGAGCAGCACAATCAAAGGACCAGTAAATGCATAACAGTAGGGAATGAATCAATAGAGCTGTAAATGAAGTGATTGCACTGTTACAGAAGCAAAAACAAAATAAAAACACACAAAGCTGTTACTTTAATAAATGTTGTGGAAATGAGCTAAAAAAGGAATCATACTTTAGACTAACGTAGATGATTTAACAGTAATGCAGCAACCTGTCCTCTAACCTGACCCAGAACAACGTTTCCCTCTCCTCCTGCTGCTAACAGGAGCTGTCTATGCTAACATGTAGCTCACTACAAACAGGAGGCTAAGCTATGCTAAGCTATGTTAACATGGTGCAGTTCACAAAGGAAAATGTCCGGAACTTCATTTATAAAACACTATCTGCTCAGAACTCAGCGGCAATGACGCGACTTTGGACACAGCACCCAAATTAGTGAAGCAAACACACCTACCGGAACAGCAGCAACGTCACTTCCGCTGTAGTCCACTCAGTCGTGTGGCGTAATCCACGAGAGGAGACCTCGCATCGATCAATATGGTGGCGCCATCTTGGGGAGGTCGACAGCTCCGCACAGTCACATGTGTTGAGCAGGCACAGAATCTATTTTATTCAACTATAACTCGCTGAATATTGAACTGATTTTCCCGGTTGTGTGTTTTTTTTTGTTGTTGTTGAAAACAGACAAATGGTTCTATGGCAAGGCAAGGCAAATTTATTTGTATAGCACAATTCAGTACAAAGACAATGCAAAGTGCTTTACATGATTAAAATATAGGAAAATATAACAGAATTCAAGCAAGTAAGAAAGAAAGAAATAAAATAAAAAAAATGCAGAAACAACAAAGAACATTAAAAACAGTTGGACTAAAGAAAATAATGAACTAATTATGTTTCAGTTGAACTGTTTTAAGAAGAACAGTCAAAGGCAATCCTAAACAAATGTGTTTTTAGTATTGATTTAAAGGAACTCAGGCTTTCCGCACCTTTACAATTTTCTGGAAGTTTGTTCCAGATAAGTGGAGCATAGGAACTAAATGCTGCTTCTCCATGTTTGGTTCTGGTTCTAGGAATGCAGAGCAGGCTGGGGCCAGAAGACCTGAGTGGTCTGGAGGGTTGATACACTGATAGCAGGTCTGTGATGTATTTAGGTGCTAAGCCATTCAGAGATTTATAGACTAATAGAACTATTTTAAAGTCTATTGTCTGAGATACAGGGAGCCAGCATAAGAACTTTAGAACTGGGGTAATGTGTTCTACTTTCTTAGTCTTAGTGAGGACACGGGCAGCAGCATTCTGGATCAGCTGCAGCTGTCTGATCCACTTTTTAGGCAGTACTTATGGAGGACCAGCTCTACCATTTTTAAAAATAAATACAGAAATAAAGAAATGCTCAATAAAGAAATAAGCATATAATTATTTGTCCCCAGAAATACAATAAACAAATAAATGTAAGTAGAAATTAAATTATACAGTGAGACATAAATGTATATATAGCTATTTTAATTGGCTTTTTATTTATTCTCCTTTGTAATAATTCACTTATCTATTCATTGTCCGTTATAATTTTCAACTTCATTTATTAATTACTTCTTTATTTTAAGTATTTATTTATGTGCATGTTGTAATATTTTTGACTGTTTTATTCTTCCTTCTTATTTTTTTACCCTCTTTATTTCTTCAATGCTATTTATTTCTACCTGTGGTTTTTACATTACTGTATGCATTTCTCCCTAATTATACAAATGAGGAGGGGCTGTGTCAACTTCTGCTCATTGGTTGGTTCGCATTTTATGCCAACCGGTAACAAATCTGTGAGGTGATAGCCAGCGTAGATAATAGTGCACATAGAAAACACCTGATTATAATACAGCTGTGAATACTGTCAGCTTATTGATGTTCCTTTTGTTTAGATTCCTACAGAAGCGTATTGCATTCACCAAAAAAAAAAAAGATCTTACATCTCGTAATTATGAGAAAAGATCTTATAATAACGAGATAATATTGAGATCAGGATCTCAATATTTTGAGATCTTATCTTGTTATTATGAGATAAGATCTCATAATAATGAGGTAATATGTCATATTCAGGACATCAGGATGGACAGTCATTGCTGAGCTACGCTACATGAAACGTGAACAATGCATGGGTTGTCAGATTAATATGCTTTTATTTTTTTTTAGGTATACGACACAGGAAAGTACTGAGTTTCCTCAAAGTAGATTAAATAAGTTTTAGTTTTTCAGCAATGTGCAGGCACCTTAAGTTCTTAGGACTGTTTAGGCGAAAAGCCCACTCTACTCTAACTTGCTGGAAGTCGCACTGTTACTGCGGGTACATTTAAACCAGCACGGGATGCTTTATGGCATCCCATAATCCATCTGAAAATGCATTCCAGTTGGCTTGCTGGTGTCCCACAGAACAGTCCACCGGTACCTCCTGAAAATCCTACCTCCTCAAGGAGTACATCTGAGGCTTCAGCATCGTTTAAAATGTCGTCTATACAGAAACCCAGGTCCCAAATTCATGCTGCTTGTTGATTCATATCAAAAACCAAACAGAATCTGTATTAATGGAGCTGTTGACAGATTTTCGCGTTTGGTCATATGGCTGAATGCTTACTCCACAAGTAGTAATCCCAGGTTTATAGCTGGATACTTTTTTGATGAAGTGAAAAACAGAAGCGGAACTCCAACGCATATCAGGTCAGACCTTGGTATGGAGAACTGTTCAGTGGAACAGATGCAGATATTTTTAAGAAGTGATCATGAAGACAAGTTTTCTGAGAGATGCTTCATCAAAAATGGAATATTGATGAAGTGCATTCACATAGACATTGATAAAATAGCATACTGTAGTAAACTGCGAACCACAGAGAAAATTTTATAGCAATGGACCTGTTAAAGTGAGATGAGGTTTTCCAATATCTATCACTTGGAAGCTACCCAGAAGGCTCTTCTAAGAGTACAAAAAACACAATTAAACGACAGGAACTGCACTTTGCACTTGAAGTTTTTTTTTTAATCAAATTTTGGACTGAGGCCTTCAGTCTTTTAGTTATCAAATTTACATGTAAAAAGTAGTGCCAATTTTTCAAATAGCAAACTTTTTGCATTTAGATTTTAATTATCTTCTACAGCACAGAACAACAGTAGTATACATGATTGAGCAATTACTTTCAGGTATTAAGCCTGTCACAATAAGCTATTCAGAAATGAATCGCGTTTTAAATCTGTATGTGAAATGACTCGCATACAGAATAAAATATTCTACTTTATTCATCTATTCAGTTTCCAGGTTTTCATCTGCCAACTACTGTGCTGGGTGTTACTAATACAACCAAGTATCTTTGGCACATCATCACAGAGAATCTGTCAGATCATGATGATATCTCTACAGTATAGAGAATGTAGAATGTTGTATGCACTAGCTAATGCCCCTGCTCGTGAATTTTCTGCATGTACTGATGTGGTAAAAGTGGAAATTTTTAATTTATATTGTACCTCTCTCTACACTGGTCACCTGTGGTCTACATATTAAATGTCCAGCCTGTAAAGGTACGGTGGCTGAGAAGTGCAAAACAGATTTACAATTCAAAAACACATTAACAAATAAAAAACAAAATAACATTTGAAGAAACAAAATTATATTTTATGAAACAAATGTATTTTTGAAAAAAAAAGTTAAAATTTTTAAAAACAAATTTACATTTTAGGAAACAAATTCACATTTTTAATAAGTAAGATTTTAGGTGAGAGAAAGTTTCATTTTAGAGAAAAAAAAAATACATTATAGGGTAACAAATTTACATCTAAAAAAAATTGACCGTTCGGAAACACTTGTACAAGTGCAAAGACAAAACTGCAAGCGGCAAAACTCAGTTACATAGCCAAAAACAAATTAACAAAAGACGGCTACACGGAAAGGGAATGTCCCAGTGGCAGGATGTGACGTCACGATTACACTGACCTGTAGTACAAACAGCTCAATCTGTAGTCCTCCTGCTTCACGTGAAAAGTCAGCGGCGATTTTAGATGGAAAGAATTGCACTGAAGCTGTTTTTCTTAAGTTTACGCTAACCAAACAATGTTTTGCCCTTATTGTGGTCTCTGGAACTTTTACGGGACACGGACCAGGTGGCAGGACCAAGCAGCAGGGCCGAGCTCAATTCGTGGCAGTGGCTGCGTTGCAGCAGTTCCAGTGGTCCTGCCACCTGGTCCGTGTCCCGTAAAAGTTCCAGAGACCTTCCGCACGAAGAACAAAATGGTGTAAATTGGCTGAAATTTGCTCCACAATAATAAAATCGCCGCTGACTTTTCACTTACAAAGAAACATAATTTCAGGGTTTTATTCTACTGCTGTGGTAAAACTGCCTGTGGAAAACTATCATAAAGATAAAAGCCGCCAGTGACACCGTAAAGATCATCAAACCAACAGTCATATTTTTTTTTTACTATTTTGGATTTTAAAATATAAAATAAATGTTTCAAACATAAAATATGAAATATAATAGTTTAAAAATTCACAGGATTTGTTTATTTTTTCCCATGTTATGGGATATATATAATATAGATTATATCAGGTGGCTAAAATATTTGATTTCCGTCTGATAACTTTGGCAAATAATGATCAAATGTCACCAAATCCACAGAGTTTGTTGTTGATGAAGAGAGGAATAAACACAGCTAAAAACTTGCAGGTAAATTAATTCAATCCCATGTTATGGAGGAGAACGGATTATTTCAGGCAGCTGTAATATCCATTCTCTCCTCTCCTCCTCACATATCTTTGGGAAATAAAGAGCAACTGTTTCCAAATTATGTAAAAAAATATGTGTGATAGCATGTAGTATACTAAAATATTTCTTTAATCCTGTAATCTGTCATATTTTACATTAGAACGGGATTTACCAGAAAGTCTGCACTCTCATCTTCACCCTCAGGGCTAAGCCCCTGATCTCCTAGAATCCTAGATCCTCCCCTGAAGTTTACCAAGAAGACTAAATCAAGAACACCAACCAAAATATTTCAAACAACTGGACTCATTATCGCCATATATTTGATGTTATCCATCTACCCGTGCCAAGGCCCGCAACACTTTGAGACGCCAGGAGAGGCTAACTCAAGCACAGAGGAAAAACGCATCATTCATACCTTACACGTGCGTTCAGGTAACGTTATGTCTCTGTTTTCCTTTGCAAAACATCTTCTTCTTCTTCTATTGAGTTTTCTGGCAGTTTGCATCCTGTGTGCATTACCACCATTAACTGGACGGCCCCAGACATCCATGTATTGTTTACTCTGAACACACATTTACCACATTTGTTCCTCAGTAACTTGACATACAGCAGTTAAGGCAACATGAAAGGGACATTTTATGCATGTCAATATGCTGTAGATAGAGCTGCTGTATCAACAAATCAACAAAAAGGCAGGTACTGTATGTTACATCAAAATCTCCACAAATCTGAAAAGAAGCAACTTAAAAATACATTTTGCTTCCAGTCTGAAAAAGTACAAAACAT